GGCGACGAGTGTACGAACTGGCAGGTTAAATTAGGATATCGTGAAGTGTTATTTTTGAAGGCTACAGTTAAAACCAAGACCATGTGTTGAGAAGGCAGAGGAGAGGCAACAACTCAGAAGGGGCACAGTGTTCTGTATTCCTTACACCTTGTCCATTATAAAAAGCCACCCTGCCCCACCAGTGAAGGGAAAGGTATTGATCCTGTGAAACATGGCTTTTCATCCAGGCAACCCATGTTTCTCATTTCAGTTTTACTAAGGTGGGAGTGAGCAGTCCCAGTTCATTTTACAGTGACCATGTGTTCACACATCAGCACCTGCAAAGTTGTTTAGATACAATATCATAAAGCATATTAGTCCAAAGTCTAAAATTCCTGTTGGCCCACAACTGATAAAAGCTACATACTGCAATTTGTAGCAAGTAGAATTTAAATTATAGGAGAGAGGCAGAAACTGTTGGAGAGCTAATGCCAGAACACTCTTGCAGTTTCTCTGAAATTAAATGCTTTCCATTTAGCCATTGCTGTAGCTAATAAGATGCTTTGATAGCTTCAAATTGCCACCTCTAAGGGGAAGGGAAACACAGTAGGAAGGAAGAGGACAGACTTTACTTTAAATCAAACTTTACTTTTTGATCTTAGGTCAAATTCAGTTCCTACTGAACCTGCTGACTTTACTCAGAACAAAGGTGAATTTGTGCTATAAAAGTGGAATTCCTCTGAACTGATGCAAACATCAATCCAGTCACAAAATATCCAGTTAAAATGCAAGTTTATTATGCTAAGTTCATTCACAGTGCCTAATGTATTCATAAAACTGAACATACTGACATATTTGTGCTGGCAAATGTGTGCCACTCATCACTGTCAATGTACTTTAGCTTTATGTGATTTGAAAACTAGCAAGTTCAGTCCTTGAAATTAGGCATATCTAACTGCAAATTTTTCATTAGCAATTGTCTGTTAGTGTAGGAAGCTGTGGTGTCACTGTTGCACACATCCTTTCTTCCACGCCCCATTAAAAGGAAACGAAAACCATGAGGGGCCAAAAGGATCCACTCACAGAAAGCCAAGCACAGATTGCTCATTGTGGACAGCTGATCACTGTGTTTTCTATAAAAACTTGACATATTTAAAACAGCTCATTTCATGAGTCACAAGTCACTGCACTGATGAACTGACCAAATTTCTGAGGGTATCTGAGCCATGTTTAAGAGTATCTAGAATCACAGACTCCTACTTTTTACAGTTATTCCATGTCTTTGTTGCACTTCTGCCCTTAGCTTGAAAGTAATTTATTTTGTTTTCCCACATGTGGAAGCTTACACATGAAAAACTCTTCTGTCAAGAGTTGGTTGGTCAAAATTGAGGCCCAGTTCTTGAAAAAAATTATCAAACCAGAAGCTCTTGTGCTAATACTGTGATTTGTATTAATTTCAGATTTATTTCATTCTCACAGTGATGAAGCAACAAGAGTTGAATCCTGCCCTGAGGCTCCTTGTGCCCACTTCACCCTTCTCTTTTGTAAACAACAGCAGAAACAATAGACTGGCTTTCCTCAAACCGTAGAACAAAAGTGCCCTTTTATGAAGGCACAGCCAGGAAAGGTTCTCCATGAAGAACAACGTGACAGAAGCAAATGTTGTACCTGGACAAACAAATGGGAGTATATAGTCTGCACAAGGCCCATGAGGTCACCCCTCCAGGCTCTTCAGCACCAGCAGAGAGCCCCAGGAGAATACTTGGTCTAGTCAGTGAGTACCAGGCTTCAAGGTAGGCTGATCGGGAGGTGCTCAGGGGTAAATACCACAGACAGTCTCTGTTGAGACTTTGTGCCCTGTTCTGGAAGAGAAGAGGCAAATGCTGCTGTGACTGAACAAGCTTCAGTGTAGTTTTCTTCCACACAGAGTAAGCATCAGTTTGCAGGACAGAGCAGTTATCTTTCCTTAAAGCAAGTGGCAGAATAGCTCGAGTAGGGACTTCAGCATCTGCCCACGGTTTGCAATATTCTCTAAACAAATATTGGTAAACAAAGACTACTAATTTAATTTACAATACCAGCCTGTGTTTGATACAACTCTGAAGGTTGCACACAGCAAATAGTTGTGCCACAACCAGTGTGGTCCCTAATTTAAAGAGGACACTGCAAAGTTCCCAATGTTCTTCTGCACTCCAAACGTGTAGCTAATAACTGACAGCATAAACAACTTACTTATGCATGATTTGTGCCCATTCTAGCTTAGACATTGATGCTCCCTCTCAAGTAGGCTGAACAGAACTGTAATGTCCCTTCTGAAATGTCATCTTGCTGGGGATGTGGAGCTAATGATAAACGTTGCAGATTTTCTTCAGTCAGAACTTCTCTGGATTTATTGCTTCATTTCACTGAATTTTCCTTTCTCCTCTCTTTTCTCAAACACAGCTCTTGAAAATGAAACAGTTCAGTCTCAGGCACACCGTGTACCATTTTCAAAATTCATTGGCACAGCACAAATGCAACTGAAAGCAGAAGCAACTCATTTTTTTTAGGAAGCAGTCCTCCATATAGTGTATATTTCTTGTTACTCACTTTCCTTTTTGTTATCAGGTGCTGCATGGCAGGTGGTTTAGAGAAAAAGAAGACAAAAGTTACATAAAACATCTCAGCTACATCCTCCAGGGATATATTTTGCCATCATACTATATTCAGGCTCTGGAGACAGGCTTTACCAAATCAAAGTGTGCTTTGTTTTTTAATATGATCCTGCTGCACAGACTGGAAAACAGATTTATTTCTTCTGTATAGCACTATGGCCTTGATTAACCCCATTTGTGGTATCTATTTCAGCGAAAGAGCTAATACCAACACTGACTTCAAAGTGTTGCTAAGTGTGGTATCTGCCCGTTCATGTATCATTTGCTTCTCTCAAGCCATTTTCTGTCAGCAGAGAGCAAGCAAGATGTATGCTCTGGGTGAATCCCATATCATCATTAGCAGAAAATTACGCCAAACTGCTGTAAAGTAATTATGCAGCTACGAGGTGAGCTGGAAGGAAGACAGTGATTAATACTTACCTCAGAGTCGGCCCACATTGCATAATGTTTTGTTCAGAGGCTTTCAATCTATTTTCGAGTTGCTAACCAGTGCCGTGGGCTGAACAGAACCTTTATTCAGGCCTTGAGAAGTATGCTCAGATAAGCTTGGTCCTTTTTCATCTCAAGTGAATTTTATTTCGGTATCATATAGTACAATACAGGATAACACTAAATCTTACTGGGTAGCTCGAGGTTACTCTTACACTTCTAAGCTGTTCTCACCCAAATCTTTCACAGGTTCTCGCAGAGGTGCTGCAGTTACAACAACCCATTGTGGTTGCACTGAGATGTGGCTATCTGTCATAGAAAGAATGTGATAAGTGTGAAGGTTTAGAAATTATGGGACTTGAATTACCTCAATAAAACTGCCTGAGTGAGAGACCTTGGAGCAACGACTGAGGAAGCAATAACAACACTGTATTCCATATCTTCCCTCCAACACTGGCAAGCTTCATCTTGGACATTACTGTGAGAAATACATCTACATGTTGTGGATGGTAATTTTGAGCACTGAGATATTATCACTCGTAACTGACTTTATTAATCCTTTTCCAGAATAGAGCAGCACACCCTCTGAGACCCAGAGAAGATGCAGTCCTTGTCCAGAGGGACCCACCATCAGGATGTCAAAGATAAATGTGACAGAAGACACTATGTGAGGCAAATGATCACTGGGTTCCATAGTTTTATTTTGCATTTAGCTTTCCTTTTCCCTGACTCCCCTAGCCTCAAGTTTCCCTTGCTCAGCTTTCTCCCTTTACCCCGATGCTTTCCCTTCTCCTTCCCATTCCTCCCCTTCTGCTCACAGTGTTCCCAAGAGCCAGTGCTGAGTCAAGTGGATAGCCAAAGATGCTCAATACAGACAAAATGCTGAAGGATTGTATAGTGGGAAACAACCCAGTACCCTTCAGGATGTCATTCAGGATGGTCCTTTAGCAACTTTCACTCTGTTTAAGCCTGTTCCTGTTGGTGAGGAGCCTAATGGAATAATCCTAAAAAGTAAACAAGTTTTCTAATATTGACTCTAAACATGACACTGGAAACAGGATGCTTAATGATCAAATCCTGCCTTCAGTGTTGTGGGCAGCTGTTTGGTAACTGCAGATACTGTGTTTTGCTTCAACACATTTCCATTCTCTGTGTACGGTTACCCACATACACAAATCTCCTTTTCTGAGGCACAGTTCTTCTGAAAACAGGCCGATTTTTTTCACCAATTTAGATGGGAATGGGATTAGGGCACAGATAGCACTGTTTGTATGCACAGCTGACTTCAAAGCAATCCACCAATGCAGTTTGGGTCTGGCACTACTTGATGTCCTCTACTCCCAGCCAGGTAGGAAATACAGGTCTGAACGGTCTCTGCTGACTCACTACCACTAACATGTTCTCATCTGGGTTTGGTGCACCAAGACTAGGAGCTGGTGTTTCACATACTGAATCCTTACAAAAGCTATCCAGCGGTCACATGAGGGTTCATCTGACCCCATGCTGGCCATGCCTTGGAAATCTACTCTTGTTTTATTAAAAAATGTAAGGAAGGTTTTTTTCAAGGAGTTGTGAAAGACTGTCTACAAGGGCACATAGTGAGAGGACAAGAGAGAAAAACTTAGAGGAGGTTTAGATTAGATATTAGGAAAAAATCTTTACTGTGAAGGCGGTGAGGTACTGGAACAGGTTTCCAGAGAAGTTGTGATTGTCCTACCTCTGAAAGCATTCAAGACCAGACTGAACAGAGGTCTGAGCAACCTGGTCTAGTGGAAGGTGTCCCTGTCCATGGCAGGGGGTTTGGGACTAGATAACCTTTAAGGTCCCTACCAACTCAGGCCATTCTTTGATTCTCTGATTTAATGAGAGCTGGGCTGCTAAACACAGACTGCACCTTTGGAAAATCTGCCCTTTGTCGCAACTTTTATTTTCTACAAATTTTAGAGTTTGGAAGCTTTAATTTCCAGGTTATCTATTCTATGACTTCATTAAGTGAAAAACACTTCTAGTAGCAGATGTTTGCTATCCTCAAAGCTACAGATGCCCCACATGCTTTTTGACCTGGTCTCACAGAGGCTGTGAGAGCTCACTTTTTTGTTTCTCAATAAATGAAAACTTTCATGCACTGATCACTGTTCCATTCAAAGGCATACTACATATCAGAAAACAAAAGTACTTTTACAGAGAAACTTTTGCATATGGCTTGAAAGAAAACCCATCAAGAATTGACAATGATAGATGATCTCCCCAGTGACATTCAGGAATAATGCAGTTTCACATTTACATCAGGGACAAAAAGCAACGGACATATTTAAATAATCATTAAATATTAAATGCCTGACACATGGCAGGTTTGAGCCCTGTTCTGTCACACATCTTCTGGAAATCTTTTCTGGATATTATCTGAGGCCTTCTCATTTGCGTTGTTCATGAACAAAAGCTTTGTAATGGAAGTTCAAGTGTATGTGTTATCAGCAAAAGGTTCTCTCCAGGGAAATTAAATTAAAGGATGTTTTTCTTGTCTTCACATTTGACATTCAGGAGTAGTGTCGAGATAAGGTAGGCACAGGAGTCTCTCGGAAAACGACCAGATAGCAATGGCAGCATTTCATAAGGATGTGAACCGTTCATCATCTGCTGCAAAGACACCATTAATGTGGCCTGGTTTTAAATCCAGCACTTCACAAGGCAGCCCATTTTCTAATGTTACTGTCACTTCAACTTTCTCTTCTAAATTTTCTCGCTCTGTTGACTCTTTATTCTTTCTAAAAACAAGAAAGAAAAAATCATCTTATTCTGTTGACCTGCATCACTCATCATGATTCCACAGACAGAAAACTGCATGTTTAGTCAGAAGTTTGTTGTAGCTTAAAGGCGTAATCTTGTGATTTTATCTTTGCTGTTGTAAATACACCATGTAAAATGGGAGGGCTGGAGATTGGATGTCCTAGTTTAGTGGTTTGACCTCAGAACTGGGAAACAGAAAACCCAAAGTAAACATGTTGTAAGTATGTTTTAAATAATATTTCACCTTCTTATTCTGTAAAATTACTGGAGGGTGCAGAAGGAAAATCTGGTGCAAAACCAAAATCAAAAAAATACCTAAATCTGTTTTTATTTTACATCAGGAAGGACTGGACTAAACATCTAATCTGGCCCTGTAATGTATGTCATAGATTCCATCCCACGATGTGTACAAATTAAAGCACACTTTTTAGAAACAAGTCAGCCTTAGACTAACTATAGTCTCCAAATGCACAGACTTGGGTGTCCTCACACTCCAGTATTATCTTCTCCAGAAGTTAGGTACTCTTAATGCTGCAAATCTTTTTTTCTTCAAACTTCATTAACATCCCCCTTCTTACCCAGTATATTATGTTTTTATTTTCTAGATAAATCAATTGCATGGCTTTCACTTTTTCAAGATTCAGTTCTCCCAGAAAACATATTAAAATAGTTGCTGAATTAAAAATGATCTAAACTAAAAAGAAATCTAAAAAAAAAAATTCTAAAAATAAACCCATGAGAAGATGTAATAGTGAAATGTCAGTCAACATGTCACAATATTCCTTTAATTCCAGATTTATTCTGACCTTGAGAACTACTAGTTCATAGTTGAAAAACCTGATGTACTTTTCAGCCTGCATCATCAGCACTTTCAGAGGATAAGAAACTCAAAGGTCAGCTGCAGTGCTTCTTCCTATCCCACAGCATGTACTGTAACAATCTGACTCGGGACAATCATAAAAATCTGACTCAGTGTAACTGCTAATAACAGCAACATTAACAATGATAAAATTTTATTGGCCTTTGGAAGATTCTTGGCATTACAGACTTGCTAAAATAAACCTGGGGTGTAGTAGCAGAAACCTCTGACCTCTGGCTGCTGTATCTGCTCTCACACTGATAAGAGGAATGTTCTTTAATACAAAACTGTAACATAAAAGTTACTAAAAAGCAGGTTCAAAAGAAATCAGAGGAGTAGAAGACGTGTGGAACCCATTGCCAGAGGAATTAGGAGAAGCTAAAAATTTCTATGAATCAAGAGGAGACTCAGCAAGTTAAGGGAAGAGAAAACACTGTACGTAACCCAATACATGAAGACCAAATCCAGCTCAGGAAGGCCCACAGCTGCAAATTAGATGCTGGGAGACAAATAAAGGGAAAGACCATGTGCTTACTCCGTTTTCACTCTTCCCAAGGCAAATGTTTATGGCCTCTGTTGCAGATGGGATTTTGGGGGGATAGGTGTAGATTTCAGGCTAGTTCAGGATAGACAACAGAGGATAGTCCTGCCCTAGGTATATGGCAAATCTATTACTGGAAAGGGAGGTGTCCTACTGCTGCAATGACAGAAGAACAAACACAAGGCTGGGAGACAGTGTGTCTGATCCAGCCCACTGCAGAGACAAGGGCTACAGTCACGGGGAGCTCCTCAATCTGCAGGAAGCTGCACTTGCAGTTTTACACGTTGGCAGCGATGCATAGTGAAGACGTAATTAAGTTCAAGAAATGACACATGAGTCTAACTCAATACTGAAACCCCTTTGCAGGCCAATCATTCTTCCCTGCCACCCTGAGCATCAACAGCCTGAAGCACCTACTTTTGGACTTATCTGAACTGAGGTATTTAACTGGTACTTTAAAGGCATTTAAAGACAAAATGCCAGATTTATGAAAAGTCAACACCATCCTTGGGGCCAGATGTCCAACACAGCTTCCTAGGCAACAGAGTTCCCATTATGTAAGCTCTGGTTGGGTTTCTGAGAAAACTAATTACTGGACATTCTCAAGTCTTTGACAACCTGATCACTCACTTTGGTGACTGAAAAAGAGATCAGCACTTCTGAAATTCTCTTCTCTGATGTCTGGCTCTTTTTCTTAAGAAACAAAATAGCCCAGGTCATTCTTTTTACCACTCCAGTCTTTGCAACAATAGATGGAAGAAGTATGTGCTCACTCTCTCTCTCATTCCCCTGCCCCTGCTTGCAGATGTTATTGATGTGAAAGGAGGGTTAGAGTTCGGCCACAAACAAATCTGCTCTGAGGAAAGGTTATATATACAGGTAGAGTAGGAAAACAGTGGGAGAAGTGAAAAGAAGTGTAACAACTAAAATGACAAAAATATGAGACAGGGAGGGTGCCAAGTGACCTCAAGCAGGCTGCAACAAGCCTGGTGGTATGCCATGTAGTTTACACCACATTGAGGGGAAATGCTCAAGTTCTGCTGAATTATTTTGAAAATACAGAGAGGAAATTCCATCTTTCAGCAAGATATGAAGCATAAATTATTGTTTTAGCTAGAAAAATCATAGCTATTTAGCATAGTTTATTTATATTACACTTACTTGAAATGTTCAAAGAACCCCTTTAAGTCAGGCACTATAAGGACACACAGAGCCATGATATGACACAGAGGGCAGGTATGGGCTTCAGGTAGCAACATTATTCTCTGTTTTTTTCAGAAGAGTTGCCTGTGTTCAAGGCATGAAATAACTCAATCCATACAACGTGGTTGTGACAGGGTTAAAACTATCCATATACTCCAAGTCCCTGCCCAGACTCTTCCCCCAACACCCCCTTTCATCTATTCTTTTTTGAATTTTGGGGCTTTTTGAAAACAGAAAGAGGTTTTGGAAATTCATGAAACTCCTGTGAATGCAATATATAACTTGGGGATTCTAACTACACTACTAAAAACTGTCTATGAGAAGCACTTTAACCTTAATAAGTGTTTTTCTCAGGTCTTTTAATGTTTTTCAAGATAATAAGGAAGCAGAAAGCAACAGTCTCTGCAACACACAGCTTTTCTTATATTAATCCCTTGTTCTGATATATTTGAGGATGAAATCTATCACACAGTCAGTGATTTTAACATCATCTAGTTTTCATCAGAAATTTACCTTTTCAGTTCTTCTGCTGTTCTTGTATGAATCTATTGCTGAAGTCATAATTTTGTGTTAACCTAACCTCTATGGCAGCCTAAAGCATGGCAGAAGCTGAACTTGTATGGTAGAATCTCAACTCAGATGAGAAATTTCTATTCCTTATGCCCCAGTCAGAGCCAACAGAGATGGCAGGATCAAAACTCCACCTACTCTCTGTGTTCCTCCAGCATGCTCACACGAGGGAAGCATGAATAGCCTTCTCTTTTTCACCAGTGCCACCACAGGGCAGAAACTGAGAGGAAAAGAGAGTATCTTTCTCCTACCCAGACAGCAAATATCTAGGCCCATGGGGAGATCTGCCCATGAACCTGTGAAGGGCTGGGTGCTCCGGATTCATCAGGTCATGAATAGTAGGTGAGACCCACAGACCGTTCCACTGAGCAGGCCCTCTTTGGCCATACATTAATCATTATTGTGTTCTTTACTGGTTCTTCTCAAGCTGCAGCAGCAACGTTTTTTTCAGCCCTGCCAAATTTTGGCACTACTGCCCTGGAAGGAGCTCAGTCACTGCCCTCTCCCTCCTGGTAGCTACGTGGGTAGTCTGTCAGAGGAGGGTCCCCTCTGGCATAACAGACCTCAGGAAGATTGACACCAAATGTCTTTGTAAAGCTCATCTCTAGTTAGGTGGCCTCCAGGATCATGCTCTCACACTCCCCATTTCTTTATTACATCCCAGCATTACTAAGGCATCTATACTTCACTGTTAAAAATTTTAACCCCTTTCCTCAGAAAAGGAACATGTTGTCTTAACCTAGGAAGGGAAGGGAGCACAGCTACAGTTTCTCTGAGGCTGCTCTGAAACACAAAACCAGCTCAGCTGACTTAACTAGCCAATATTCCATTAAAATAGAAGAAAGGCTAAGCCGCTTACTTCTTGCGTTTCTGAATCCCTGAAACAACGAGGAAAACAATCCCAGCCACAATGAGACAAAGAACAACACCAAATACAATAAGCCAGACAGGCGTAGAGGGTTCAACAGGAGGTGATAAGGTTGAGGTTATCTTCAGGAACTGCAGTGTTTTGTCACTCAGTAGAAAGGCACTGTTGATTCTGTTCCGGTTCATCCTTCATGAAAATAAAAATAATAATAATAACAATTAAAAAAATAGCATCACAACTCTTTATAAAGATATTGGATAAGTTAAAAACACAGGAAAAAATAAAAGGATTTTTCATTAATGTGCTGCAAGTTTGGCAAGACTGAATCTGATCTAGCATGATGAGTTAAAGGCTGTGAATGTTGTCTACCTTTAGTGGGGGTTGGCCATTTCTACCGGGCAACTAGCAATAGGACAAGAGGACACAGCCTAAGGCTGTACCAGGGCAGATTCAGGTTGGATAACAGGAAGAATTTCTTCACTGAAAGGGTGGTTAAGCACTGGAATGGGCTGCCCAGGGAGGTAGTGGAGTTTAAAAAATGACTGGACATGGCACTTAGTTCCATGGTCCAGTTGATAAGGTGGTGATCAGCCAAAGGTTGAACTTGATGGTCTTGGAGGTCTTTTCCAACCTAACTTATTCTGTGATTCTATGATTTTATGATTCTATGATGTTGGTAGGATTACACAGACCTTCACTTTAACACAGACCTTGTCAGTAATCCATAGAGGCCCACACACTTCCAACATTTCGAACAATAGATTTTCATATATATCTATCTGAAAAACTGGGAAATACAGATGAGACCTGAAGTACAGAACTATTATTTATTTCTGGTTTGGACCATGCACTGAATATACAGCAGGTTGCAATTAGTAAGAGTGTCTCTGTTGTCTTGCTGATGCAGCATTCAAGATTAGCATGGGAGTGGCAGATATACCCTGCAATGCTCAGGGGATTTACTTATAGTGCCCCTTGGTCTCTCAAACTGAACCATCCTGCATGTTATGGGCCAGTACATCTGCCCCTCCTGCTGTAAATCTTCTTAGATCCATGAAGAACAGAATACAGTTTGCTCCAAAAGAATCCACTCCTATTGTCAACATGTCCTTCTTCTCTGCAGGATGCAGCTAAAGGGATTTGTATTTTGCACATTTTTTTCCACTAAGAAAAACCGTAGGTCTGAGAAATACACTTTTTCACATGAGTAGTACAATTGCTACCCTGTAATGGGGTATCTTCACCCATTTTCACTACCTGTAATCATTTGCAGGTAGTTCTGGATCTGAATCTAAGCAGCCGTCAGAGATTTTAGCAGTATCTTTCATTAGCTGTTTAAAAAAAATCAAAAATTTTTGAGAAAATGTGTTACATGTATTGGTCTTGAGAAGTTTCTTTTGATTGCAGTTGTATGAATTAAAGCAGCTCTTTTTTGTATAAAATTAAAGTTATTTACCACACAGCAAGTATTTCCTAAGAAAAGACGTATGGGAAATACAGGTAAGATTTTTCAAACTTCTTTTCTTGGAAATCATCATGTTTGGCTGTCTCTTAGACAGGAAGTTCTTAGTTGTAATGGAAAGCCAACATTCCTGGAGAGGACTGAAAGCCATGGCATTTTATAAGACTCATTATATGGTAAGCTGTCATTTAGAAAAGATTTCCATCCTTACTGATATGAAAGGATCATTGTGAACAGATGAAATAAGCATTGTTCACCCTCATCTAATGGCTGGAGTTTCAGAATTACATACACATGCAGGCAACTACAAGTGCATTTCATGTTAGTATATGCATCACTATATCTCGTGTATAATTATGTAAGATCTTGACTCTCATAAAGAGCTCTGAAATAGTTTACCTTCCTCTTTATTCTTACTTTGTAGAAAATATCGTGCAACAAAATTCTGGTCCATGGCTAGTGTTCTTATGTGCTACCACAGTATGAAGAATTAGGGTAAAGGTTTAGTATGGAGGCCTGCAATCAGAAGCAACTGAACAAAAAGTATTATAGTTTTATAGACCATTTTATTTCTTTTTTTCTAAATTAGATAGGAATTAAAACTTTTCATAAATAGCATATTGTTTGTCAGGAGACAGACAACAGTAAAAAAACCAAACAATAATAGCATCCAATTTCTGTGCCGAATGGGGCACATAAAAGACTTAAATAAATCAGCTTATGCTACTGAGTGTATCAAAGAATAACAGAAATGCAAAAACCCTGCATTCCAGCACTCTTACAGAGAGCTTCAGTGAATAAATAATCTGCTTCCTCCACTAATGCTATGAAGCTATTGTTTGGTGTCTCTGTAGGAAGTAGTTTAATCTGCTCATAAGCTTAAGTTAATCTTTCCAAAAGAAGGCATACTCATTCATCAGGAATTAGGCATTACACCTCCACAGAGATAACATGAATTTTCAAGACAGAGCACAGAATGCCTGAAAACAAAGAGGTCCGTTTTCCACCCTGTGCTTGAGAAATGTTATGCAGCTTGTAGGACTCATCCCTATAAACCCCTTGTGAAGGTTTGGTGGACCACTGAAGCCAGACTACCCACTTTTTCTTTTTCCCTCATCAGCTCCACATTCTCGCTTTTATTTGCTATAGAGTGTGATTTTTAGTAGAAAGCAAACTGATTTGTACCACACAGTACTTTGTGCAAGCAATGCTCAGCTATGATATTGACTGGCATTCCAGAACCAGCTGGTATGAAAAGAATGTGAGCATAAAGTTGTTTAAGCCAGGCTGGGACACAGCCAGCTCTGCTAGGAGTTCACACGAGCTCTTCTCATGTGAAAGCTCAACTTCTAAATTAAATCAGTTGAACTGTTAGTGAGAAGCACCGAAAGGGAGCCTATGCTCATTAGTCCAGGTATAGATGTGCATGTAGCATGCAGTGAAAGTTAAATTACATTAATTCCACCCAGAAAGTGTGCAATTCCATCATCTGAGGGAGAAGGCTCTCTTGCTGGTAAATGTAGCAGTTGGATGAGAGCACTGTATATGTCACACACCAAAAAGCAAATCATAGGTAGGGCTCTGGAAAGGGAGTAAATTTCTTCTGAGTCTCCAGCATTAACAGAGACTCTTTCTAAAGTTTTAATGCCGAGGCTCACAGGCTTTGCATTCTGTGGGACTGTTAAAAAATCCTCTGATCTCACGTTCATGAAAGAGTACTGACTCCTTGGTGTTTTAACTACTTGGATTAATTCATCCTTAAAGAGGAAGTGTGCTCATTCATACAAGGCCCAGAGAGAGAAAGTATCCTCAGTAACCAAGGAAGAAAAGGTTGCAGAAGCAGTTACTGTACCTGATGGCTGCCTCTACCACACTTCCAGGAACAGTTGTCACATTTTTGGAAGAATCTGTGACCACAAACCAAAACGACACACGGTCTGTCACATTGCAGAGCAGCACGTTGGAAATTCTGCAGGTAGTTAAAAAGAAAAAAAACAAAACAAAACAAAACATTAAAGATGCATGAAAGGAATTATGGAAATATTTTAGATTTTCTTCAAATATTGCTCTCATCTAAGCCCCCCTTTAGAAATCTCATTTTAAAAAAAAGTTAACAGTTAATGCTCAAGAAAGAAACATCACTCACAGCATTTCTCACTTCCAAATATGACAAAAAAAAATCTAAGAAACAAGTCTTCAAATAAATTTTTACAAACTTGCATGGTCTTGGACATACATTTAGCATAATCAAATGGAAAAATACATATTTGAATATTAATCATCAGGGCTGTCACAAAGACCATATAATGAGGCAAATGCATTAATGAATTAAGAATTTTGGTTTTGACAGCAAATACCCAAGGAACAGGCATTGGGAATTCCCTACATGATTGTCAAGTGAGTGCAGTTCTTCTACAAGATATATCTGTTGGAAGGAAGAACAGTGGAATTGAATTTTTTGATATCTTTGTTCACTGAGCCAGGCAGAGTAGGGGGAACAAGCTAAATTTAGTCATTCTACTGGCCTATGCCTTTTATCTTATGCTGGGAAAAAAAAAAAAAAGTGTATTATCTATTTTAAAGGAAGATTGCTCAGCTTTATGTGAAGTTTTTAGTGGAAGGGTGTAGGCACAGAGCTTTTCAGGGCATACAGTGTAACGCTGTGCGAAACGCCTTTCTTCATATTCTTACAAATGGGGTTTCTGACGCTAGCACCAGTAGTGTCGGAACCATCGGCAAACCCTCCTGGCGTGGCATCACCACGAGTATTTATTTGAGCCAAGGAAGCTCCAGGGTCACCGCCGCGCCCTGCGGGCAGCGCCACCTGCCGGCCATGCCCGCCAGCGCCGCCCGGCCCGCGGCGGGAACGGGAACGGGGACCGGGCATGAGGGATGCGGCTTGGAATGGAGGGGATCCTGGAGATCATCTAGTTCCAACCCCCCTCCGCGCACAGGGAAACCCTTCACTAAACCAGCTTGCTCAAAGCCCCATCCAACCCGGCCCTGACCGCTTACAGGGACGGGGCATTTCCCTTGGATCTGATGCTGTATTTCACCACCCTTATTGTAAAAAATTTCTTCCTAATATCTAACCTAAATCTACCCCCTTACAGTTTATTACTGTTACCCCTTGTCCTGTCACTACAGACCTTAGTAAAAAGTCCCTCAATCTCCTTGTAAGCTGCTTTCAGGTACTGAAATGTGTTATAAGGCCACCCCAGAGCTTTCTCTTCTCCAAGCTGAACGAAACTAATTCTCTCATCTTTTCCTCATAGGAGAGGTGTTCCATCCCTATAGTCATCTTGGTGGCCCTACTCTGGATGTGATCCCACAGCTGCATGCAGTACTGGAGGTGGGGTCTCACCAGAGCAGAGCAGAGGTGCAGAATCCCCTCCCTCAATCTGTTGGTGGCACCTCTTCTGATGCAGCCCAGGATATGATTGGCATTCTGAGCCACAAGTGCACATTCCAGAGAGATATGCAATAAAGTGGATTTTGCGGAGCTGAAATGCTCACTTTTACCTCTCTGGAACTGTATCAATTTGGAAATACAAAGAATTTTTACGGATAAAAGAGGAAAGCCATCCTCTGGAATTTGAAAAGATGTTCACATCAGTTTGCTGGCAACAGTCAGAAGATAAAAGCAGATTTATTCTTCACAAAACAAAAACAAAGCACAAAATATACAGGAGGGGAGGGAAAAAAAGCCTACTTTTGGCTGGTGGCTGACAAACTTTTGCTGACTTCACAGAATATCTAAAACTATCTACAGAGGAAGTTTTCTATCAGGGGAATTTATAACAGTAGGACCCAAAACTTTATGTCATAGTTCCCAAAGCTGCAGTTTCTGTGGTGCAATCAAACACTGGGCTGGGTGGAAAATTTGGGAGTGTGCTGCCCTACAGATGTTCTTGAAATGGCATAAGTGAGGAAAGTTTGATCCCCAAAGAGAAAGATAAATTTGGTAGACAAGGACTGGCAGAACACCTTGCCTTTTTCACTCTCTTTCAGAGACTCTTCAACCTGGGGTCTTTCCTCAGTGCCAAGGCTTTCAGCATGAGACAGGGCAATCAGTCACAACAGGGGCAGCATCTCTCTCTAGAACAAACAGCACTGAATCAATTGGGCAGCAGGGATTGCACTAGGATATGTAAATTTTGCTGCCTTTCTGCTCCCTGTTGGTCTAAAATCCTTGCACAATTACAAGCATCCAAAACTTGGCTTCATTGCCACCACTTTTTCATCAGCAGAATCCAAATGCCATAAATCCTTCCAGGCCCCAAAAAGAGTAATACAGCTCACAAGAAATTCAAAGGGGATTGAATAAACACCAAAACAGACTAGTTCAACAAGCACCAATGTGGCAATGTCTGTGCAGCAGGTGCACCTTTTTTCTTCTCCTGCACTGTTTGCATTCAGGTCTGATTCACAACATGCAGAAGCATTGCAGCTGTGCCATCACACTGTACAGATCTGAGAAACATGGCTTTCCTATGCACTAATTAACTGTATTTGTAAACATATATGTGGACATCTTTCTTTTTCCTTAGCAGTTGATAGACTTCTCACATGGAGATTGCAGGAGTCTGTTATCATCAAAATGACAAGATCTTTGGCTTTATGGCACCACGGCAAAAGTCCAAAATTGCATTTCCTTTAATATACGCAAGTGAACACCAGTGAGTAGAGTACAGGAAATCCTGGCAGTTCCTGGCACTAAAATACCACCATTGTTCCTTATGGAGATTTAAAGGAAGATTTAGGGGTGAGAAACAGCTACCAGAGACTCAAAGGGAGCCAGGTGCCTACAACAGCCATTAGCTCATGAAAGAACCACAGTCTCATGTCCTGAATGCCCATCTCCAGTTCTTCCAAAAGCATCACGACTCTTCCAACCCAGGGCTGTGCAGCCGCTCCTGCAAAGGAATGTTATTTTCTCCTCTTTCATGAGCAGCAGTCACAGGATCACCTTGATGTAACAGCTTTAACTCTAGAAGCTTATTTTGTTGTTATCAATGGTCACAATATTTTTAGTATCAAAAATAGATGGTCTTAGGAAGATGGATAGTGTTGATTAATTTTTTGCTGGTCACTTTGGAGGAAAACTGCTGCTATTTTTAACTATAAATGAGGGGAAGATGTACCCAAAGTAGATTCTGTTACTTGAATGAAAGCAAATGCGATTACATTCTTTCTGTTCTAAAGATTAATTAGTCTCACGCCCAAAAGAGATGCATATTATTTTAAATGAGTCACAGATTAGAGAAACACAGACTAGAGACAATAATTTTTTAACACTGAGAGATCAAAGGTTGGCTGATGTAGTTCATGACCGTATGTATTGAGAATCAATTGAAAGCCTGCATGTAAAAGGAAATAAAGGAGGTTTAATTCACCACTGAAAAAGAAGTATTTATTTGATCTGTAATAATAGTTACTAAGCTATTTGATGGATCGTATATTTCTTCTGTTTCACACAAACTTGAAAATTTGACAAGCCTTTTAAACATTAAACACTGCTCCATGACTTATTAAATTTCAGTTTAGAAATTAACTTTAGAGAACTCGAGATGTAACATGCCATCCTGTCCATTCTGCATTGGGTCACTCAGTGGCTACACAAGGGCAACAACAGCATCAACTGCTGTTTGCAGCAACACATTCAAATGTTTGTCATCACCAGCTGGCTTTTATCCAGCTTCAGAAGCCTACCAAAAGGTGACCTTTGAATATCAAAAACTATGGGACAGACTGCAACAATGGTTACCCTGATCCATCACACAAATGATTTTGGGGCCTGATCCAGCTCACTGAAGTTAATGGCAGTTGGTCTCATGTGGGAGTTAGTTGTGGCTGTGGGTTACTTGAGGGCTGTGGGTGTGTTAGAAATTAAGGGGATAATAAAGGTTTGTCACATCCTGGCTATGGCCACGTGCATAATGTATATCCTGGCAGAACCCGTATTTAGTTATGTAAAATAATGGTGCATTTTTCAAAATCTTCAGTTAACCAGATGCAAAATTTGGGTAAGTTTAAATGCTACCAGAATGCAGTCACAGGCAATTTGTTCTTTTATGACAGAATAATTGGTCGTTTGTCTTTTACAGCTCCTGAAGAAAATGTGTTGGTATTTGCCTGCAAAAGCTCCTGCAGTAAAATGCAATTTATTTGCCAGTAGTGTAATGTAATTTCTTTGCCACAAGATCCTGCTTCTGCCTCCCTCTTCACTGCACTGCAAGCCTCTGCCACTATCCTCACCAGCTATGCCAGAGTGCCATTCCTGTGCACAGCATGCTGCTGTATCCTGAGTGCCCCCACACCTCCATTCCCACTGCAGAGGAGATGGAGAGGGACTGGCACTCCTGCCTTCCAGCTGCCAGCCACAGGGGTGTGGGAAGGGGTGTGTTATTTCCAGCACATCTACAGGATGGAGGTTTCCACAGCCTTCCTGCTCCCATGTAACAGGTAGATTATTTGAGGTATATTGGGAGGTTTGTCTGGTCTCTCTGTCACTGAAGAGGGGCTCTGAGGTCTCTTGGGATTTGGGAGAGATCTGTGCATAGGATACTCCTCAGCCTGTTGCTGAGAAGTTGTACCAGATCTCAGAGCTGCACAGCTGCCCTTCAGTTGACATGCTGTCTGTACATGACCATAAAGGTATCTCTAAGTCCTAGATGAGTTATCAGTTATACCTCCAAGGTACACCTCAACAAGTTATACCCCATGAGGAAGTCAAGGCCATCTTAGAAAGAGCTAAAGATGGTCAAACCTAACTGTTTCCAAATATTATACTGACTTATTTTCCAAACAACTTAGTAGCAGGAAATTGCGAGACCACCTCCAAACTGGAGTAACACTGACATCATCATATTTGTCCATAGCAAAAGCTGTCTTGGTGGAAAATTGAATTAAGTGAGTATTCTATGATTTCCCAGAGTGGGTACAGATAACTGCCATTACAAATTTAACTCCTTTCATTCTGGCTTGATTTTTTTCCCATTCCTGCACCAACCTTTCTAGTATGATTTGATTCTGCCAAAAACCACAGTGCTTTGTGAAAGCACCATGACTTTGAAAGAAGAGAATAATTTTAAAAAAGTATACAAAAGCAAATCTTTATGGATCAGATGCTGGATGAAAACTTTTCTAATTTGAAAAACTGAGAAAAAGCCCTACAGAATAATTTGTAATTAGCTTGTATCTTGAACTCATTTATTAAAGTGCCATTTTAATTGGGTTTAGTAGCACACTTGGCTGTTTTTGTTAAGCTTGGTGTAATGGCTCTCTTGCTCAAAGGAGATCACTCCTGAGGAATTAAAATGAAATAGCAAGGAATCAAACATTCCAGTTACATGGAGGGGGAAATCCCCTTCTATTTAACAGAAGTGCAGCAACCAAATAATCATCATGTGACTAAAGTTAACTAATATCTTTGCAAATGCAGAATATGTTTCATCTGATGCAATGACAGTCTGAAGGAGTTTTATTTTTAAGTAAATTGAGAACCTTATCCTCATTAGCCTACCAGAACCCCAAGTCTTTTGTTTCAGATTGAAAAATGATGAAAAAAAGAAAAATAGGGCTATGGAAATGCACTTACAAGGTTTTTCATTTAAGAAAGATAAGAACACACTGAAAATACAGCTTGCTAAACGGTCTGTCTAATCTGGTATCTAATTTCATAGAGTAGCAAGGATCAGAAGCCTGAGAAGAATATTCAATACTTCAGGGCAGATTTAATCCCAAAATCAATTAAAGGCTGATTTATATCTGAACTGCAACATCTGAAATTTCTTGATGCCAGGTAACTCAACCGCTGTGATCCTGGGGATAGAGACACCCAGCAGAGCACAGCACTGGCAGAGCTGTCCACCTTCCGGGTCTCTGAGTCAGCTCATCTTGAGCATCCTACTGAAGCTGAGCTCTAAGATAGTGTGCACCAAAGCTGCTTAATTAAAAATCTGCACTGTCTCTCTCGACCTTCCAACATGTCCCTTTGCCTCCTCCCAGCATGGTCTCCAGAAGGTGTCAAATGCCAGGTTGTTCTGAAAGTGAACTGGCACCATCCCACTGAGATCCACAGCTGAGTCACTTCACATCAACTAGGATACTGGTTCAAAGACTGAACATTGCTTAAGACAGTGTGATGTTTAACAAGTATCTGGGTGTCAAAGAAATATAATGGAACAGTCTGCTTTTAGAATCTCTATATAATGATTTCTGCAGTTCAGCACAGCAGAGAACAGTCACTACATGCAGCATTGTTCATATGTAGAAGGCAAATCTGAGTAGATGCTTACTGAGTTGTGCTCTTGCTGGAATATCTTCTCATTGCAAAAGCCACCATTGCTTTGAAGAGGTACTCTTCATTAGCATCCCAGGCATACTGTAAAGCAAGATGGAAAATAATTAGTTTCAGCACCAGTGCTGGGCAGTACAGAGAGGCAAAAGAGCCATTGAACTTGAAATGCTGTATTGATCAAGAAAATTATTAAATTCTCTGGTTGTGCTAAGAAAATAAATGCCCATTATTTAGTATGCACAAAGGACTTCTAGCGGAAACAAAACAGCACAATATAAACTGTAATATAAATAATATAAACTGTAAAGAATGTTTCAAAAAACTGAATTAATCAAATGTTTCTGAAATCTGACCAAACTGGAGAGGTAAAGTTTCTTGTACCAAGACGAGTTATATTATTAGAATTCTCCCCACACAGCTGCACCCATGGCCTTGCCTCTTTTGCTGGATAAAGTTAAAGTAGAAGGCTTAACTCCACTCTCAAAGGCTACTTAGCTCTGCCTAAAAATAAATTTAAAAAAAATTGTGTTGAAGGTATTCTCTGGGATTTGGACATCAGGACACCAGGAATTAAAATGATATTGCAGCCTTATTGCTGTACACCTTGTAAGAAGACTCAACTACATCACAAATTGCTACATTGCGTATAAGACAAAAGAAAGAAAATAGCATCCTTACTACTTCAATAAGAAGTAAAATACAGGTTCCAAAAACTGGTCTCTGTTGTCTTGATGAAAAATCATGCTTCTGTAATTTTAGTTTTCTGAGACAGCTTCTCTGGCTTCCCCTGGGCTTTCACTCACATATGCAATTCTAATGACCTGTAAGAACTGCATCTATTACATTTTTATAACAGGAGCCATGACTGAGGCATACTGATTGAATTCCCCCTTTCACCTTTCAGCAGATTACAAAGATTATTAGTTCCTTGGAATTATATTAATGGAGGTTAGAAACAGCTTTTTTCAGTCAATCAGAACACAAATTTCATCTTTAATTTTCAGCATTAAAAAAATCTGCTCTGTAGTCACCCAAACCAAAACCAAATGGTGTGGATACTTAACTCTGTTGACATCATGAACCTACTTTTTTATGGTCCTTCAAAAAACAACAATGTACATCAAAAAGCAGTAAACAAACAAACAAACAAAATTTAGCAGCATTGCTAAATCTTAATTCTGGTTTTTAAATTCTGATTTTGGATGCATGGAGCTGCAACCCTTCCACAGAAAAAAAAGGAATCCAACTTTCCGGTATCAGCAGCCCTCATTTTGCACTGGCAAACTGTGGACTGGGAACCTAGAGAGGGCCATCATTTAAATGGCAGAAAGTCATACTGATCATGTTTATCATCCCTAGACAAAGGATGAGTTGTGAAATGGGCTCACTGAGATGTGGTAAGACAGGGACAACAAAGCTGGGGCAACAGGCAACTTGAGCAGCACTAAAATCCAGCGGCAGTGCTGAGAATCTGGGTTCTGACTCACCCCTCTTGCCTTGTGAAAGGAGTTGGGAGCATATTGTGATAATGCATGCCAGCCTGGGAACTTCAACTGAAAAAAAAACCCCAAGAGAAACTCTTTGGGAAAAAAATTATAAAAGCCTGTACTTTGATCCCACTGCACTGATGAAAACATGACATTATTGAGAGCAACTATTACTAAAAGAAAAAGAGATCATTTAGTAGAGGAATTAATACAGATGGGAGCCATAACACTATTTATCATCATTTTAAAGACATCTGCATTTTAAACCATGAAGCACAATTTGCAGCACTAAAAGGGAAGATCTTCTATTTTTCTGCATGTGGCACTGAATGTAGGGACTGAATCCCTACATGCCATCTGCAGTCTTTGAGAACAGGTCCAAAAGGACAGAAAAAAATAATTTGTTACCCAGTGGATTAAAACATCAGTGGAGATAATTTAATCAGTTGTCTTGAAAATGGATAATGATGAAGCACACTCCATTTCATGCTTACATGGGCACAAATGCAATGCAGCACTTCCAAGTACATGTATTTGATATGTTTATGTTTAGTGCAATGCATATATACATGCAGTTTGTCACAATCTAGTATTCAGTTTTCATGAATAATGTGTTTGCTTGGGACTCCTTCAAGTCACAGTAACTAAGAGGGTATTTCAAAACAGGGGAAATAATTTGTAGTGAGGAATTCAAGCCTCAGCTGAAAGAACAAGCACTTGGAAAAAAAGACAGAATAAACAGAAAGCTGCAAGAAATGGGGGAAGGAGACTGGCAGAGAAAGTTCAGCAGAAATCAGGGGTCTGCCTGAGTGAGGAGAAGATGCTGCAGACAACTTCTGGGAATAGGGGTAAGAAGTCCCAAGAAAATTGAGATGAGACAGGAAGTAAAGGAGATGGAGATGGCTGTGGGCTCCATATGAACAAGAACCCCTACACAGGACTGCATGAAGGAATATGCAGGGAGAAGGCAAAATAATGAGGAGGAAAAATAAGGCAAAAGCACCTTTAAGCTAACAAACTGTATGAACTCAGCATAAGTGGGCACGAATTGACAGAAACAAGTTTCTAATCAACAGCTTTCTCCCGTCAGAGAGGTGCAAAGAAATCCAGAATTATTTGCACTGGAAGGGACCCCAAAGATCATCTAGTTCCAATGCCAGGGACACCTTCCAGTAGACCTGATTTGTTCTACCATGGGCCTTTATCAGTTTCATCTTTATCCTCCAAGTGCAAAGGCCTGAGTGCAGCAGATGACTGAGGATGTTCCTCTGCAGTGCAGCTACTGCTGCACATTTTCTGCTGATACACAGGAGATATTAAATATCATTTGCAACCACACGCTATAAATGTAACTGTTATCAATGACAGATTACATGATGGTATCAGAATATTAATGTTTACCATCTTAATTGCTCTGCAAAGAAACCAACACAAAGATCTTGGCACAGTTGCACCTGCCATCCTTTATAATTAAGAAGGAGCAAAATTAGACATAGCTGACTGTGAAAGTTAGTCTTAAATGCCTGTTACTGAAAGATGATGATGAGATATATGGTGAAAGATGATAAATGTAGGTTGTTGATGGGGTGAAATGTTATAGTAGTGCTTTAAGGAAGACAAAATTTGAGTAGAATGAGACTATAATATTACAAGATTGCTCTGAGCAACCTGACCTGATTTCCATGTTGACCTGGCTTTGAGCAGCAGAGGACTAAGGACCCTTTAAGTTCCCTTCCCTCTTGAATGGTTCTGTTTTTAATTAGACAGCCATTCAGACTGCAGTGGACACACAAACACACTTCTGGGTCCCATCTGGTGGCAAGACACATGGTGTATGTCAACATTTCTCTTCTTCATCCCCTACCCTAGAAATAGCCTGAATACATGAGCCAGAAGGGCAGTGCACCTTCTACTTCACCTGGCTGCGGCCCCCGAGGTGCCAGCTCTTCAACTCTTACAGTTAAAATGAGTGGTGACACCAAGTTACACAGAATTCTCAGTGCACATCACTTCTTCTCACTCCCGAGTTGCCTCTGGCCCTTTTGACTTAATTCTTTACCCCTCTGCTGACTAGCAGCTAATCCAGAAGCCACTCATAAAGTAAAACCATCCTCAGAGAGACTCATAAATCACCTTCCATTTGGGCCTACAGGCACCATGTTTCCTCTCACCGATCAGCAAACAACGCTCTGTCAAGTACACCCATCATTTGCAAATAAAATGATAACAGCTGAATACTTACTGCATCTGAGCTGCTCTTTCCAGCTCCATTGTGATAAGACCTAAATAAATACACTAAATGGAGGTCCATGCTGCCAAGTACAGTCTGCCTTACGCACAAATTAAAAAATGGTGTCCTGTTTTTATCAGCCTCACACAAGGTGGATGGCATGCACTAAACCACGTGAAAAGCTGCACTAACTGATTTTCTATGCCCCTGAATGTACATTGGAGTTATCCTGCCAGTCCTGGAGCAAAATTCTCACAGTATCAGGGCTTTCTGTTATGGTGTAGCTTGAAGTGACTTGGGAATGAACAAAGCTGGGCATGTCCTACTGTGACAGTATTACACTTTTCTTTGCTAAAACAAATAAATGACATTAAAAAAAAGTAAGGTGTCCCAAATTCTTTAACCAAAATGAATTTCAGTTTTATAGTAGTTTCAGTTTTCAATTTCAGTCATTCACAGAGAAGTTTGCAACAGCTATGAAAAGGAATTGCTGCTACCTGTGCACTTAATAAACTGCTCATTATTTGTGGGTGATCTTGTATGGCATCATACCACTTTCAACTAGCTGGTGTTCTAAAATGCTCTTCTTAGCACTTTCACACACTTTGTGAAACTCTGTTATATGAAATAAACAACTCTCTAAAAAAAAAATATAGACTCCTCAGTTATTGCTTTTTTCTTGCAATATACAGGGCTTTTAAAAGTAATGATTTGTTTCATACCCTTTTTGAATAAAAAAATTTAAAAAATTATAAATGATCAAACAAAACCCCCTTATTTTACTAGAGCTGGAGAAGCAAAATGTACTAAAAAAGAACATTACTTGGAACTGCAATTTTCATTCTTTGCTACTATGGTGAACCAAGATTAAATCAAAACATTAGCAGTTATCTTTAAAAGGAGCTTCAATAATTATTTTGACATATTTTCAGCCATAGTATTATACTATTTTTAATAATTTTTTAAATTAACCAGTCTCGCATTACTGTTTAATTGAACAAATTTCCAGATATTTACTTAAACAGGTATCTTGAATTAATCTTTGCTATTTTTCTGGTTTATAAAGTTATCAGTGAAACTTAGGTCCCTGCTAATGTTCCTTTAAATTACCTGATATTTCAGGGTAATTTTAGAACAGCTTCTACAGTCACAGGGAGTTTCTCATATCACCAATCTCTTATAACATATAACCTACTGCTTTTTGTTTCCCAGGGCTCATAACATAATCAGGCACCACACTTCCAGTGGAGATGACTGTCCAAGACATTTCCTATCTAATTTTATGCTGAGCCTGTTAACATGACGCAGATTTGCCCGAAGTATTGAAAACTTCAAAGTACTGGGATCTAATGTATTAAACAGTACCTTAGATAAGGAAGGACCATTCTGTTAACTAATGTCCCAATCTCTTACATGTATCTCCTATTGTTTACACCAGTACTTCTGCATTAAGCCCAAAGATCTGAATTAAGGCAAAGCAGTGCAGTCCTCATGAGACAAGCCTGTGCACCACTGCAGGGAAGAAAGGCCACTATCTGAAGCCCTCCATTAGTAGGGAACTGATGAGACATGCTTGAATGATCTCTACAGTTAATGCTTGTCTGAGAGCCTGATATAAAGTCCCATTTAATAACGACCAAAAAAATATTTTCCTGCTTCTCTTCCCAGACATACTTGACTTTACAAGCAGCACTCTTGAGCAGAAGTGCTTTTCCCAAAATACAGGCTTACATTTATGCAGCACCTCTCATGCATAAAGTCTAACATCCCTACCGCTCTTCCAGAGGAGAAAACCCAAATCTTTGAAAGAAAATTATCTTTACGAACAACTGAGATTTATACTTCTCTTAAAGGATAACATTTTAAGGAATGGGCTAGTCAAATGTCAAGAAATGGATCCCTGGATCATGACTTCAGCAAACTATTACAATTAACACTGTAAATCAATTTGCTTGTGTTGCCTCCAGAACTTTTCCAGTACATATTGCTTCCATTTTGGCAGATATTCCGTTAGGAAGAATACGCAAAGATGCTTTACTTACTGCATTATCTCCCAAAGCTTTTTTGATGCTAATCCGTACTTTGAAAGCATTCTGTGCATCTGACACAAAGACAAAAAAGCAAACATATATTGATAGTCAGCAAAAATAAGATTTTAAATAATTTACTTCCCTCATTATTTCACAAACAGCAGCTTCTAAATGTGTCTTAACAGATCACCTGTTTAAGAGAACAGAATTTACTAGCATGAAAAGAGCCCTACAGAGATTTACCATGACCTCTTTAAGTGAGATCAACTTCCATACTTAATTTGCAAACTCCTAAAAGAAGTGAATGCTCAACATTTCAATCTTCAAACTGAAGACTACAGTTAAAATAAAAATCTGAGAAGCTAGCAGCTTTGTAGTCATAATCTGATAGCTGCTTTACTTGGGGAACGATGGGAATCAGCTCCAAATCTTACCTGGCTTGCAGAGCTCAGCATGAGCAATGGCAACTACAGAGAGTATAAGCAGCAAAGCCCGTAACATCCCGTCAGCATGGAAATGTTGAGGCAAAAAGGAGTCGAGTCTCCCCTGTAAAGCACTCTTAAACTTTCTGTGACCCAGGATTAAAGCATCAGGAGAACAAGTGAGCGACCAAGTAAAAGGTTTAATAATTAACCCCCGTTATTTTAGCTAAAAACAGGCACTAGAAACAACTGTCTTCTGCTAGTTATTTACTACCTTTTTCTGTAATAAAGAGAACAGAAACAAAAAAAAACCTAAAACCACAAAACCCACAAAACCCAAGCAAACAAACAAACAAACAAACCCAAACAAACAGGTTTTTAAATTTCCTTCTTCCTTTTTAGAAAAATACAACATGTCACAGAGTGCTCCAGGCCAACCTTTTACTCCCACAGCTGCTATGTCAGACAGACACACAAGATGTCTGTGGGGTATCACACCAGAGCAGCCAGCAACTGTGACCCACAGCACCTGAATCAGAAAGTTGCCTGACACCAGATCCCAAAGGAAGCTGCCACCTGTCTTTCACGGGAAACTGTCTGGCCCACAGAGGGTCCTTGATGATAAAGGAAGACTAGGCACCCTTTTCACTCCTCCAGGAGAAATGTGTGATGAACACAGAACTCCTAGACCCAAAAAACAGGGCTCTGGATTTGCCCCTCACTTGCCTTTAAACTCACAGCACTTCTGAAGGGTCACCCTGGTGGGTTCAGTGCTGTGTCCCGCTATTCCCACCCTGATCCCACTCCTGCATCCTGTCTCAGGAACTGGTCTGAGCCCAGCAAAGTAAATACCTTGTTCTACTCAAAAACTCCCCATGTCTGAGGCATTGCTTTGCATGAAAAGAACTGTTATACACACGGAGAAATACGTCACAGGCTCATTACAGTAGTAATGAGAATAAGAAAAGGTGCAATAAAAGGACGTGAGAAACATCTTGAATAGGGATATGTTCTTCTCTTGTAGACATGACCAGCTGTGTGTACATATAAACACACACATGGAAATACTTTAATGATGCACTCCATACTATTAATCAAATGTTTACCAAGACAAAGAAATAAATAAATGCAGAGGAGAAACAATTCAGAAACTGAAATGCACTGCAGGTACTTGAACAGTCTTTGCAATCTAGGCAGCTAGACAGGATTACTTTATTCCACTCTGCTGCTGTACTCCCCCTGTAGCCATTCTGATTAATGGTTAGTTCCTAAATTGAAGACTGCTTCAAAATTACTTTCAGTTGGTCCTTTAGCACTGGGAAGTGTGTCTGGAGACTGCAAACCCAAAGACCTTCACATGAACGACAAACAGTGAGAAAATTTGACTTTACCATTGGACTGAATTTATGTAAAACAATAACCAGTATTTACTACATTAGAACAGCTGGACTTTCAGCTATTTCAGCTAACAAAGAACTTAACTGTTTCAGTAATTTAATCTTATTTTTAGAATCCACTGTTAAAGGACTTGATATCCCATCTTTAAAAGTCATTACACCAAGCTGATTCCCAGGCACCACTTCAGTCTCACTAGGCAACCAGTTCTGAGCACAAAACTACTGGATACATTATCTACTTAGACATTCAATCTATGCCTATGAAAACAAAAAAGTGATGCATTAATTTCTAATGACGCCTCAAATTAACATGCTGTATGTACACACATCAAAAAGGAGAGTACTGAAAAATGTTCAGATGTATGAAAGACGATCCTGTAACATTTGTAACATAAAAAACCTTAAAAGAATGTGAATGCAACCAGTTTCATGGTAAATTCATTTGCATTGCTTCAATAACGAGCATGTAAACTTCTTTGTACCTTTGGGGAAAACACTGAAGAACTTGGGAAGAGAGGAGAAAAGCCAAACACTCTTTCACTGCTGCCAGAAGGTAAATGGAACTGAGCATCAATACACAGCATCACCTATTTCCCCCCCGCCTAAAACACCATAAATCAGTTCTTTCCCTCAGAATCACATGGAGCCGGTGTCAAAGTACATCGAAGGCACACAGCTACCAGCAGGAACAACTCAGAGGACATGACTGGATTCCCTGATCAGGGCTGCTGACTTCCAGCCAGGATGGCTGATTTTCCCCAATTTATCTTGCTGGCAAGAAGCAAGACAAATGATTTTTTCCAGCAGAGAGGGGAGGAGGCCAGGGGAAGCAGCAGTGTGATAAACACCCTAGCTCAGAGCTCACAGGGTGCACATCGTGCAGTTGATATATATGTGCACAGCAACTTGGATGTGTGCCAAATGCATCCAGCTGAAGGGCCCTGTGCTTACCCAGCTGTATATGCACAGAGCACTGCAAATAACCAACTGATTGCTGCACATCTGTAAATTGTTTTCAAAAACCAGCACGTTTTTTTAAACAAGCCAGGTGGATATGCAAGTTGTTAGTAAGAAGATACCTTTTCTTCAAATTAGTGATTTTTTTTAAATACTGTCTTAAAAAGCACTGTAACTTTTCAGGTTACATATGGAGTGTATGTGCGTAATCAAAAAAGATAAGATGTTTTGTATCTCTGTAATAAATGTAGCTGCATGACTAACCTTCTCCCCAGCCTCTCTGCTCCCATTTTGGCCAGATATGTAGCGCTGTTAAAATATGTCTGTGTTCATTCGCCATTGACTAATGAGTCAGGCATCAGTTTGCTTGAACAAATGACAATTCACATATGCAAGGTATGTTTTTAACTCTCTATTTTGTGAGGTACTAGATTTTTAAGTAGTTCCTATTTTATAGTACCTTTATTTCTCCTAACTACTGTTGAGCTACAGGTCATAGCCACGCAGAATTTCATGCACAGTCTGCATTCCAGAAACATCACTGAACTAGTGCAAAGAACTATTTCTCGTGCTGTGCTAAATGTATTTTTCTGCCTGGTTGAAAATAAGAGTATCTCTATAATTTTTTTCAGCAGTTGTGGCTTCCAGAAGTTCATCTATTATCTGTACATATATACTTAACAGTATATATACCATAATTTGGACTACCAAACAAATCAGGAGAGGATTGAAATTTCAAGAAAGCATGTGACTTGGTAAAGCAAACAAACAGATCCCTTCCATCTTCTCCATGTGATTAGCAAAGTACTTTTTCTGCTCCTTTCAATGTCTTTGAAATGGAAAATCCCAGGCAAGTAAAATATTGATAGCTATCGTATAAGTTAATTAACAGCTATGGCCAAACTTAACCTCAGTTTTCAAATTTGACAAATTAACAGTTTTAAACTCTGAGGAAGTTAATCTTTAGTCATAAATAGTTGTGTTCAACTCTTTCGAGGCAGGAGTCAATGTGCGACTGTCAGCATTAGTCACTCATGGAAATGTACCTGGAGAACTGCAGACCCAGCTGTGCAGAGCACTGCGCAGTTCCCCAGGGGCAAGGGAAATGACAAACACTGTAGGTCTCCTGCAGGCTGCATAAACTGATGAGATTGAGATCTAAGCAAATCTCAGTATCATCTGACAGACCAGGCTGGCTGATAAAGGTCCAGCCTGAGTCTCATTAAATGTGCGTTTTTCCAGAAGGTTTTAGGTGAACAGGGTGTTGAAGGAGGACTGCCACCACTGTCATCACTTTAACAGTGCAAAAGTGACTTAAGTTGTCACAGAGTTTTTTTATGAGTGCTCACAGGAGCAGACAAATGTGAGGAGGAATTGTTTACGCCTTGAGACAGTCGTGCTGGCATTAGCAGCAGGCGGGGGAAGGACGTGCTCTCCAGCATTCATATGCATCACCTTGGAAAGGGCATTTGGCAGTGGAAAGCACCCAGAATGGCCTGCAGTGGGGCTGGCACTGGGAGTGAGCAAACAGAGGGGGTGGTGAAGGATGGTGCTGCCACTTCACTGTCGTGTTTATAGTACAGCCTACAGCCCTGAAGTGTCAATAAAAACTGCCGCATCCCAAACCCACACTTCCTGGACGTTTCCTAGTTTACATGTATTTTCTGAGTCAGATAAATCCATACTAGTGACTGACTGACATTTCCCACATGTTCTCTTATGTTCACCTTCTTCAGCTAGAAAAAACAAAGAGATGTACAGTTCCATGAGGAAAGTACCACTCTTCTCCTGGAGCATACAGCAAATATTATGTGAGGTGAGGACAACTTTTACATAATCTATATGCTTATAAAATGTATCTTTCCTTTTTCCACACAAGGCTTGAGCAAACAACAGAGTGAACACTTCTTATCTGCTTATGTCAGTCCACAATGATGGAAATACACGAAATGAAAACCAGAAGAACCACATGCAAACGTGTGCCAGATGGAGTCCCTGCACTCTCACTCAGATCTGCTCTACCGCACATGCAGAGTCCTGTGCACAAATCTTGAGAGACATACAGAGATTTAGAATGCAACGTGGTAAGTAACTTCAAGCTGTAAGATAAAAGTTTCTCTGCTCTGGGCTATTCCATGAAGTATCATCTGTGCATCCAGTACTGACCTTGTCATGATGAGGTTCACGTCAAGCTGTACCATGCAGGTGTATTTTTGTTTAGTAAATATGGAACAATAAGTTCCACAAACTTCTTGAAGGTGTTCACCAAAGTAAAATACGCTTGTAAAGGCCTGTGGTCTGTAATTCCAGTGCAAGAACTGACAGCTATGGACAGGAATGCTACATTATTTTGGATATGTGAATGGCTCTTGCCTGGAATGGTCATATGTTTTTCTTTCTTTCACTGTATCAATTAAATTGTATGAAACTCTGTGCATGGACTTGAATATCACGCTGCTGTAATGTGTATAAATTAATAAGAATAAACGAAATGGAAACAAATGTAATTATATTGTATTCCTGTCTTGAAGAAGATGACAGCTTTTTCCAGAACCATTATGGATATTTGTAATAGCTGGTTTGTGTTTTCTTAAAAAGATATCCTATTTTTCACTATTGAAATATTTAAGCTTAAGATGGTGCCTTCCCCAAGTACACTGGGAAAATGCCACGGTGAAATGTAGCACATCAACAAAAGGAATGACTGAATTTCTCAATTTTGACTTATACATAGTTTAAGAGAAGGTCAATATTATGGCACTTACTCTGTTGAACGGAGGATGAACAGATATAGTTGCGATTTCCTAATGAAATAAGATTATGGAAAACATTTGGTTGTTTTTTTCAAAACTTTCATGGGTGTCAATGGTGCAACAGTTGTAAAATGCACAATACTGCCATCTTCTGTATCCAAGAAGCAGCAAATTGTATGTTATTTTACATGTATGTTCTGCATAAGAAACAGTAAAAGTAATAGTGATGCCAACTCCTTCATTTTAAGACAGTCTGGGATCTGACATGTGGTTAAGTAACAGCAGAGAGATCACAGTCTGAATATTCATTGGTCAGGTAGCAAATGTAACTGCTGACTATAGCAGTCACATGCTTGCTCTGAATAACTTCACTGAGCTTCAGAATAAGTAAGAGGATACTCATTAAGCTGTTAATGAGCAGCACAGTCAATTAGTCAGATTTTGACAAAGCCTGCTGTGGTGTGCTTCACCGCCAGCAGCTCAGACTGTTTATGCAATACACTACCCCTAGGATACAGGAAATAAGATCCTACATTGTGGTTTAGGACAATAATTTAGACATTAATCAACAACGTACATTATTAATAGGTATGCAAAACATGCCCAAATAAAACCTACAAATACGCTGCCTCTGAAGGCTGCAATCTATCACGTGTGTCACCGAGGAATTGATTACTGACAACTGGAATATTTTCACCCGTTGTATTCATGATGGTCTGTGAGGAGTAACTCGTTTCCTGCCATGAAATATGTTTATAATCAAGTCAGGTGTATGCCTCAGAGACGATGATGGGATTGTATCAGCAGTGTGAGTTCACTGATCCTCGTACCAGCCTGGTGTGCTGTCGCTGCTGCACTGCAGCTGTGACTTCCCTCAGCTCTGGCAGCCCTGCTGTGGGCCAGGGCAGCCATTTATCCCTCACGGTCGTGGCAGCCAAGAGACACACTGGGAGCTCACCTCATGACAGGCAGTGTGAGTTAAATTGAACAATGTACCAGTCCAGTGTGCTACTGCTGCTGCTGCACTGGAGCCGTGACTTCCCTCAGCTCTGGAACGTGTGGGAACACCCCGCATTCCCACAACTCCCAACACAACCGAGGTAGCTCACAGAGCTCAAGTTCTTGGCAGCGAGGACAATCACCCAGCACAGACACTGCTATGTGCAGCAACACCCCAGGAGAGCTCAGGCACTGCTACACTGGCTCCCAGTTATTCCACAGGGCTGAGAAAATCACACATCGCCAGGAAAGGCTGAATCGGGAAGTGCCTGAGAAGAGACAACTGAGACGGGACCTCATCAGTGTCTATAAATATCTGAAGGTAGGGTGCCAAGAAGATGGATCCAGGCTCTTCTCGGTGGTGTCAACCACAACGACACGAAGCAACAGGTAGCAACTGATGCCCAGGAAATCCCGCCTGAATACAGGGAAGAACTTCTTTACTGTGAGGGTGACTGCGCACTGAGCAGATTGCCCAAAGGCTGTGGAGTCGCCCTCCTCGGAGATACTCAAGAGCCATCTGGCCGCAATACCGTGGCACAGCACTGTGGGGTGACTCTGCCCGATGAGGGAGGCTGGACCAGGTGTCCCGATCCCGACCCTTCCAGCCCGGCCTGTTCCGTGACTCTGTGATCTCCGGGGCATCGGAACACCCAGCGCACTCCACCGCTTCTGGTCTTTAAGAGAGTTTAGTAAACTGGAGTTCAAAGCGGTGTTTTCCCACGCACTCCCTGACTCGGGACCGCTCCCGACAGGAGTGATAACGGGAGGGATAACGGGAATTCCGCTCCCTCTCCCCACCCACGGCCAGGATGAAGCCACACCACCTAAGGCCCCCCCCGCCGCCGGAAGGGATTCCTCGCCCTTCCGCCGCGGGGTCACGTGACGCCCCCTCGGCCCCACAAGATGGCGGCGCCCATGTTGCTGCCCGAGCCCCCCCTGGGGAAGCCGAGGTGAGGCCGCGGCCGGGCCGGGCCGGGACCCCTCGGGGCGGGGAAACGGCCCGCGGGGCCCCGCAGAGCGTCGCGGTCCCGCCCCGGCCGAGCCCGCCTGAGTGCACGGGGGGCGCGGCTGAGGCCGCCCCGCGGCCGGTGCTGGCAGTGGCGCAGCTTGGCGCGGCCGCGGTCCCGCGGGGCGGGGGTAACGGGGGCCGGGGGGCGCGGGGCGGGAGCGCAGCCGTGCGGGGGCAGCGATGGGGCCGCGGGGGCAGCAAGGGGGCCGCGGGGGCAGCCGGCAGGCGGGGCGGGGGGCGCTGGCGGGGCCGCTCCCGGCCGGGCTGGGGCCGCGGGGCCGCCGTGCCCGCCGCGCCGCGCGAGGCGGGTGTGCCCGGGGAGCGGCGGCCGCGGCGATGAGAGGCGCGGGAGGCTGTGGGAGATGCGTGCCCGGGGTGAGCCCCGTCTGGCCCCGCCGCAGGGACGGGAGTCCCCGGGCCAGGTGTCCGGGTCTTTGGAAGGCTCCCGGGTCCCGGTGCCGTTCGGCCTGAGGGGGAGGCAGAGCCCAGCCCCGGAGCTGTTGGGGCGGTGCTGCTCCGTGCGCCTCAGCGGCGTGCTGTGCTGGCCGGAGACTGACGGGAGCTGTTCTCCCCCTTCCTGCCTTGGGCTTCAGGAGAGCCTAAGGAAGCGGTGGGAACTGGGAAGGAGGTTCTTGCTTTCATCTCCAGGCACCTGCTGAGGGATGCAATCCGTTTCGGGCAGAGACACGGAGTGTTCAGTCTGGCCAGGTCAGAGGGCCCTTGTGAGGACAGTGCTCTGTGAGGGCCGTGCTGCTCCTGGCACAGCCACCCTGATGTCACCACGGCACCACTGCAGCTGGTGACCATGTGAGCAGCCCTGAACGGAAGGATTGGAGATGCTGGTGAAGTTCTGGCTGTTTGCGTTATACTTGTGGAATCTTTTAAAATTACACACTCTAAAATGGGAAGCTTTTGATGTCCCATCAGTGTTTGGTGTGACACAATGACAGGAGTTGGAGATTGATCCTCCCTCCTATTTTCTCCTCGAATAGTCCCTTCTGGGCCTGTTCAAGACCCAGAAGAGGGACCTCAAATGAAACTTGCCAGAAAAGGGATTGATGTGAAAAGGTTTTAGATGCCTAAAATGGCTTTAGTCACAGTGCTGGTTGTAGGCAGCCATGCAGAGCTGTCAGACAAGCAAGGGAGAGTCTGGCCAGGCTTCTGCAGCAGAAGAGCAAAGCTGAGCATTGTGGGGGTGTGGTGTGTGCGTTGTTACCTGTGCACTGAGACTGCTGCCAGCAAAGGGTATCAAGGGAGACGAGAAAAAACTTGAAATTTCATAAAAAGACTAGAACATGCAGAAAGGTGTGCCAAAATTGTGGGATAGGAGATCCCCAAGTTTTTCTCCCTGATCTGATCTAGGGATTGATTTTCAGGAGCTGAGAAAGATTTCATGGAGTTGGTGATAACATCAAATGTTGTTGTATACAAGGACTACCATGGAATAAAAACTGGGCATCTTATGATGATGGCCTAAATTCAGCTTTTTATTGCTTCATTCAGTATATTACATCTTGTTCTCACACAGCTGCGCTCACACTCTCTGCCTGCAGAATCTTCCATACCAAAACTATTCTTAGCTCTATTATCTATATATTATTACCAGCCTTCACATATGATTGGATGTTCACTTCTTATTTACATTCTTTCCTTGCTGCTAGGCTCCACTGCCTTGCTGCATCCTCCAACAATTAAATGTTGCAGAGCTCAAGAAGGATGAGACCCTGTGTGGTGTCTTGTTGCTGCTGCCCATGTGCACCTCTAACAGCACAACCACAGATCTACAGATTTCATTGTCATGTCAGATGCCGCTGCAGAGTTACTGCTTCATACGAGTGGCTGTTAATTTTGTGTTTTGTGGGATTTTTTTCTCCTGGAGGGAACTAATTGCATGTATGACAGTAAAAATTAGTTGTTTGGCTGTTTTCTCATCTTCATGTTCCTCATCTTCAGCCATCAAAAGTACAGAGCTATTCTGAAGAAAGAGAAGAGGAAAAAAAAGCGGCAGGCGCTTGCCAAACTAAGGGACTCAGGTAACTGTGAAGTGCTTAGTGCTGTCAGTGGAACTAGAAGTGATTGGGTTTTTTCTTTTTTTTCTTTTTTTTTTTTTTAAGGATATAATTCTGTGTATCCTTTGCTGGCTATAGCATCCAGTTGTGTAGATGCATTGTTTTGTGGTTTTTTTCTCAGAAGCTACAGAAAAAGATGAATCTGTGTCTGAGGAAGAAGAGGAGGAAGTGGAGAAAGAGGAGGAAGAAGAAGAAGAAAAAAAACTTGAGGCAGAAAGGTGAAGAATCTGGGAAACTGCATATATACAGTAGACACTTTGCTAGTCAATTCCATTTTGATACTTTGAAAAGTTTGACTATATTCTGTAAAACAGAATATTTTTTAATATTTCAGGCTACATTATTCTTTTCTGTAATGCCTGAATGATTCCATCTGAATTTTCTCTTTTAAGGAAGATTAGATAAGCTGCAGTTATTGCTGAAGCAATAAATTTGAATTGTGGGCGTGACAGTCACGTCAGTTACGGATGCTCATTAAATGGAGGGTCTGAGTAGTGTCTGGTTTCCTTGGTAGACAAAAACTACATGAGCAGTGGTTGCTGAGAGAAGAAAAGGCCCAAGAAGAGTTCAAGCTAAAGAAAGAAAAAGAAGAGGCTGCAAGAAAACGGCAAGAAGAAGAAGAGGTGATGTATAAACTGACTGTTACTGTTGTGCCTGGAAATAAGGTAGACTTAGGGTAATATTCTTACTGTTCTGTTATGACCTATTTTTCTTGATCCTGGTGTGTTTGAAAGCACTGGCTCTTCTGTCTTTCACTTAGAAGAGCAAAATTGAAAAGGAAGAGAAAACAGCAACTCTTTAAAAGGGTTTTTGCCCAGAGATTTAGTTGCTTGTGATTGGATGGAAGCTTAATGGTCAAGGAGTTGTTTGGGTCAAACAAGATAGTTTTGACTTGCATTATAAAGCATTATTTCCTTAAGTAATTATTTTTTTTATCATAAAGAGGAAGATCAAAGAAGAATGGGAAGAGCAGCAAAGAAAAGAGAGAGAAGTGGCACAGCAGAAGCAACAGGAGAAGAAAGAGAGAGAGGTGATTCCTGGTGGTGGGAGGATAAACATGTTACATATCCTGTTACATGATGAGATGCAGCAGTTATACATGTTGAAGAAGGATTTTGTTACAATTAGCAATGTGTTAGTTACTCCATTCTGTTTGATTTCCTAAAACTATTAATCACTGTTAAAGAGCATCTAATGGATCCATATAAAGGGTAACTTGTTTTAACACATCTGGTTGTTCATAGTATGTTGTTGCTTACATCAGTTAAATACGAAGGCATACTGCCAGTGCAGTTCTGATATGTGCACTTTCTGCATCACCTGTTAAAGATGGTCCTTCCTTAATGTCTCAGTTGAACACAGTCAGTGCTGAAGAAAATGCCCAAAGAGAATATGGATTATGGAAGTACATTGCTGCTGTTCTTTATCAAAAGATGTGTTACAGCTCTTCTTTACCTGACTCATCCAACAGGACGTATCTTTTTTCAGAGCTCCTTGGGTGGATAAAAAAATTATGCTGAAGCTAGAAGTCATGGATAATGTTTCTGTTAATGATACATTCTTCTTAAGTTTTAGAAGTTCAATGACCTGGATGTAAAATGGCCTGTACAGAAATCCAGTGTGAGGACTGGCCTATTATTCCCAGTGAAGGGTGACTGCAGCTTTCTAGGATCTGGCCATTTTTGATTCTCCACAATCACAAAAGTTTCCAGTCATTTCACTGGGAGATGTCTTGCTACTGTGTCTGGTAACCAGAGCAGGAGAGGAGCCATGAGCAGACAGTTCTGTCTCCCGCAGTTAATAGTTGGTTGTGCCACTGATGATGTAACACTTGCACAGGGAATGCCAAAGAACAGCAGTTGTATTTCCTGTCTTACTTCCTCTGGTGTTAAATGTCCATTTCTCTCTTTGCAGAGTAGGGAGAGAAAATGATGCTCATGTCCTTTATTTAAGGTTGAGATAAAGTTCAAAGAGAACTGGTAACAGCAGGATTTTGTTCCTCCCCTCTCTCGTTGTGCCTGGGTTTCCCCAAGCCCTCAGCGGGATAATTTGGTTCTCTGAACTAGATGGAAGCTGCTTTCTTTTTTGCTTTGTTGTTGGCTTGTTTGCTTTGTGTTTTTCTGCGTTACTATTTTACTGTGTTAGTGAGTTAAATTGGCTCATAGAGGGCATTGACAGACACCCAGAGGGAAACTGATTACCCAGGTAAGAGTGGAGCCACCCATTCCAGCGACAGGAAGTTGTTTAGTTGATTTTGCCTGGGTCTTGAAACAGCAGTTTATTCAGATTCTAGCAGTAATTTAAAAAAGAAACTAATTTCCTTCCCTAAGATGAAAAAATAGTTTTTTCTGGTTTGGTGAGTGGTGGTAGTTCAGGGCTTTTTTTGTGTTTTGGCTTGTTTTTCTGTTTACATAGTTTGGTTTTTTGTTTGTTTGTTCTGGTTTGGTTTTCTTAAATAAGATGGATAATATCTGGCATTCTTGGTGATTAGTACCAGATGCTCTCTGAGTTCTCATCTTGGATTGCATTTTTTAATTTTTATTTGCTCTTTTTTAATTTAATTCATTCTCTTCCAAATTAGAACAGTGCTAGCATATTTTCTTGTTTTGATTATGTTTAAAAGTCTTTTTTTTCTTGGAACTTCTTAGAATAATTTGTTAGAACCAATTTCCAGGGAAAGAATATCCTCACTGTCTTCCTGTATTTGGAAGGCTAGATACAGTTAACTTGTGATGTTTAGGTTTCTTAAGAGTTGCATCTTTTGCTTTAACAGAGGCTCACTGAGCATTATGTTTTTCTGTGTGTTATACGGAATCCTTAAGAAGTTTAGTGCAACTAAACAATTATGGACCTACCTGTAACCAGGCTGTGTGCTAGAGCAGGAGATACGTTTAAATATTCAGTAGTTCAGTGACAGTTTTAAAAAAGAAAATTAAACTTCTATGTTGTCCATTGTTTAGTTTAGAAAATCATCTACATAAGGGTCTTGTCTGATGTATCCTTTAACAACTTTGTAGTACACGAACTGCTACAGAACAAAAGTAAATTTCCTGGTTTTAAAGCAAACCCCGTCAAACTTTCATTATGCATAATCATTGAGTATTGTAAATTAGGTTCTTAACTAAAGACAACAGATGTTTTGCGTGTCCTCAGGGTTTTCACTAGTCCTGTGTTTGCACCATTTATAGGCAGCTGTGCAGAGGATGCTGGATCAAGCTGAAAGCCAGGTATGCTCAGAGACTTTTTGAAAAAGAACTGTAAAGTAATTTGATTTCCATCCGGTGTTTGTCTTCTAGCATGCTGTCCATCTGCTCTTGAGAACCTAATGGCCTGAATAAATTTAATATATAGTGGCTTGCATGAGCTGGAAACTATTATTTACTCGGTGGAACATAATTAAGCATATTTCTGGCTGGTTGGTGGCAGTGCAGCTGTGCATGCTGATGACTGTTCAGGAGATCTGAGTCAAAATGAACCTGGAAATACTGCTGTGTGCTGTTAAAAAACACTGTGCATGATGGTTTATTTGTGAATTGTAAGTCTAAATAAATCTGTCAGTCCTCGGTGGCAAGACAAGCTTGTCTTTTTAAGCAGATGGCAGGCTCTAAATAAGAGGATTCAGTGGTAGAGGAGGGCAC